CACTTCCTGGGACAGCCCTTAATCCTGTCGCTGTCGGGTCTTCCCGCCACTCTCCTATTGGTTACCTGCACTGCACCTGCTCTCGGCCTTGACTTTTGAGCTGTACCTATTATAGTTAGTGGCAGAAGATGAGCTCCCTAGACCCCCGACTTCCCCGCCTCTTCCATTACTGGCCCTTTAAGAAATGCCTCCCCCCAATAACAACAAAACGCGTTTGTCTGTAGTAAATGTTGTTCCGCTGATTTTCTCTTCCTGATGATGAGGACTGGTCCTGGCAGGAGCTGGGAAACAGAAAGCTGGGTACAGAAAGGGCATGAGGGGTGGATCTTCTAGAAGCTTAAGGTCAAGGACTCAGACTTCCCACCTCTGCTTGGAGGACTTGGTTGTGTGGTTGAAAGCTGGCTGCGTGCTGTTGGGCATTCCTTGTGGTCCTGCTGTCTAGTGAGTGCCCCCCAGGCTGGGAACAGCCCCCTGGCCTAGTTCCTTAGAGTCACCCCCTTCCCCCAGTTATTGTGGGAACAGCCACTGGTGACAGATTTGCTTGGTGATTCTGCTCCCTCATCCCCAGCTTGCTATGGCATCGTCCAGGTGCCAACAGGACCCTGGTTCTGCAGGAAATGTGAATCTCAGGAGCGAGCAGCCAGGGTGGTGAGTTTGAGACTCCTCTCTCCCCTCCTGTACACCTGAGCATTCCCCCCCCCCCCCCCCACCACCACGCCTGGGCACAGGATTTCCTGTTTCCTGCACACCTATCACCAACCCCATCTGTCCCTCAGCTTATCCCTCACTCTGCGTCACCTCAGGCACCGGGCCTTTTATTTTTGTTTGCTTGTTCGTTTGAGCTTTTTATTATGGAAAGTTTCCAACCTGTACAGAAGTAGAGGGAATGCTGTCATGAACCTCACGTTGATGTGGACCACCCACCTTCAACAATGATCACTCGTGGTCAATCCTGTTTTCTCTGTACCCCCACCAGTTCCTCCTTAGACATCTTATCATTACATCCTGGGGCCCTCTGAATGTGTTCAGGGAGGGCCCAGCTCAGCAGATCCCCCATCCCCTTTGGGAAAGCCCACCCCCCCAAACCCCTGTGCCCCCTTTTATTGGCAGAGGTGTGAGCTGTGCCCACACAAAGATGGGGCATTGAAGAGGACTGACAATGGAGGTGAGGGGGGTGCTGAGCCCCAGGGCTCATCTACTGAGGTCAGCAAGGCCCCTTGAGCAGGGTCTGGGAAGGCAGGAGTGGTCTGTGGGTGGGGGTGGAATGCAGAGGCTGGTTTCCCTTCCCTTCCCTGGCTGGCAGCGGAGTCTGATGGGAAGGCCATGGAGGAGGGGACCATCTGCAGTATGGGGTTGTGAGAGGTGGGGGTCTTGGGCTCGCCATCGCAGCTGAGGCCAGCCCCACACTGCCCCAGGCTGGGCCCACGTGGTGTGTGCCCTCTACATCCCTGAGGTGCAGTTTGCCAACGTGCTCACCATGGAGCCCATCGTGCTGCAGTACGTGCCTCATGATCGCTTCAACAAGGTCAGCGGCCCCTACCGTGCCCCATACCAGTCCCTTCCCTAGCCAACCATTCTTGGGTCCCTCCAGCCCTTTCTTCATCCAGTGTAATTTGATTCTGTCCCACCTACATTTTCGGGGAACTCAGGAGGTGGGTAGGCACCTTCCACTGAGAGGTTCACGCTCGTGCTCTGGAACTCAAGTGAAGTAATAGGCTCCCTTGCAGAAGTGCTGCCTGAACATAGACCTTAGCGAGCAGTTCACTTATTCATTCCCTGAGCACATTTTACTGAGTGCCTACTATGTGCCAAAACTGGGGCAAGATGCTAGACACACAGTGTTTAGATTGATCAAGACAGGTGTGCTCCCTGCCCCACGGAACTCACACTTCTGGGTGGGAAGACTATACATATCAATAAACAGGCAAATAAAGTAAATGCAACTTGTGTTAAGTGCTGTAAAGAAAACAAACAAGGTACTGAAATAAAGGATACCCTGTGGGGGGCGGGGGGGGCTTACTTTAGATAAAGTAGTCAAGGAAAGAGACATTTTGGTTGAGACCTGGGGGATGAGAAGGATGAGGGGGGAGAGTCCTTGATGAGGGGAGAGAGTTCCAGATACCAGGCAGAAGGAATAGCATATGCAAAGGCCCAGAGGTGGGGATGAGCTCACCAGTGAGGAAGGCAGACACAGTCCCTGGCCGTATAGGGCTCACCATCCAAGGATTGCACTGTCCAGTATAGTAGCCACTGGCCACATGTGGTTATGTAAATTAATTAAAATTAAATAGAATTTAAAATTCAGGTCCTCAATCACACTAGCCACATTTCCAGTGCTCAGTAGCCTTATGTGGTTTGTGACTGCTGTATCAGACAGTGCTGTATAGAACAGTTCCATCATCACCAAAAGTGCTATTGGATAGCCCTGACTTAGGATCACGTGGAGAGGATGGAATTGAGCGGGGAGACCAAAGGATCCCTCAGGTGGAAGGGAGGAGGGCACGATTGTACTGTATCCTGCAGACATGTTACATCTGTGAGGAGCAGGGCCGGGAAAGCAAGGCAGCCTCAGGAGCTTGCATGACCTGTAACCGCCACGGATGTCGACAGGCTTTCCATGTCACCTGGTGAGAGCCCCGCCTGCCCTGCACCCACCCCAAAGGGTTCTCTAGCCAGCTGTACCAACCCCCTCCGAGGTTTGCCACGGGTGGCTGCCAAATAGGTTCATCCTAGCTGCTGTGTCTTTGGAGATGATGGCAGTGCTTTCCTTGGGTGGTCTTGGCTTCACCCCAGCAGGGATCTAGGAGGGTGCAGGGGAGGTGGCAGGTCTGGTTTGTGGCCACACCCTTCTCAGGCTAACCTCTCTTGGTTAGTGCCCAAATGGCAGGCCTGCTGTGTGAGGAGGAAGTGCTGGAGGTCGACAATGTCAAGTACTGTGGTTATTGCAAATACCACTTCAGCAAAATGGTGAGTTTTGTCTGGGCATGAGTGGGTCAGTCAGCCATGGTTTAGAGGGCATGGGCTCCAGGCCAGGCCAGTGCCTGGCGCTGGGAGGACAGACGTGGAAGGAACTATGTCCCTGCCCTTGAGGAGCTCACCACTGGATGAGGAATAACTGAAGCACAGTTGAGGGGTGTGAATCAGAGCTGAACCAGGCTCCATCCAGAGGACAGAGCTCAGGCCCTGCCTGTCAGAGTCTGGGAGTCTTCAAGGAAGAGGCAGCATTTAAGCTGAGCCAACATTTGTGGGGCTTGCTGTGTCCCAGCCTCTGTACTAATCTCTTTATGTGTGTTTTTTTGTGTGATCATCCCCAAAACCCTAAGAACTAGGTGTACTGCATTTCCCCGTTTTTATGGATGAGTAAGCGAAGACCCACTAAGATTATGTTATTTATCTCACAGCTGGTGTGTGGGATTCAGAACAGACAGTCTGAAGCTCCTCAGGAGCCTGCTAAGCAAAGACAGAGAGAAAGGAATCCCAGGCAGAGGGACTGGCATGGATAAAGTCCCGAGATGAGAAAGCATTCATAAGCAGCAGAACAGGGTGTGTGGGAGGGACAAGGCAGGAGATGAGGCGAAAAAGCTCAAGCAGGGCCAGAGCTGGACTTGCTTCTGCCCCAGGTTCAGGGGCCCAAGGAGAGGTGGGAGAAGGGGTGCTAATCCATGTTTGTGGAGAGGCGTGCATTTCCAGAAGCTGTGGGGTGTCCTGGAGAGGTATGCTGTGGCCTGACTGGGAAGGCAGCTTGGACCTCACCCCCAGGCCACAGGCTTGTAACGCTGCTTGAAAGCAAGAGGGTAACATGATCAGATTTGTGTTTTAGGAAGATTACCCTGGCAGCCACTGTGAAGCCAGATTTGAAGGGCCAGGGCAGCGGCTGGGAGACAGCTGCGAGAAGTGGGGGATGGAGGGATGAAGCTGGGTTCTAGAACCATTTCTAGATAGACTTGCCTACATGTCCGGGTAGCTGAGAAGGAGGAGTTGAGGGTGGCACATAGGATCCAGGCTCTCAGTGCTGGGTGGATGGGGCTTAAGCACCCAAGGGTGCTGTGAACAGGTGGTGCAGTATGCTTCTGTAGGGCTAGCATATGTCCTGGTCTGCCCCGGAGAGTCCCAGTTTGTGCCTTTTGCCCTGGTGTAATTATTAATAGCTCCCCCTTTCATTTTCAGAAGTGTCCTACTTTGGATCATAAGTCATAGGGTCATCTAGGTGCAGGGTTTGATATCAACTTAAGACAAGGTAGGGAGCTCGGTTTGGTTCATAGGAGGTGCCAAGTGGGGATGTTCAGATTTGGTGGCTGTGAGGCCCCCAGGCAGGGTGGTAGTGGCAGCCCCAAGTGTATAAGGCTGGGGCTGGAATCCCCAGGTGCCCATCAGGTAGGGGCTCAGGTGTGAAGAGAACTATGAGGTGGGGAGTTCAGAGCTCAGCAGAGTAGAAGCAATGCCCACCGCTGGGGAGGGATGGGGTCAGACGAGGCCTGAAATTAGTCCTTGGATTTGACAGTTGGGAGGTAGTGGGTGACCTTAGAGGGAACAGCTATAAGTCTAGGACAGGTGAAGCCATCAGCCCAGGCAGTGGGGAGTCCAAGGCCCTGGCTGGGGGGAATGGCAGCACAAGGGTTGTTTGGGTTTTTCTTATGGATGTTTACTCACCCCTGCTTCTTAAGGGCAGCAGGTCCTTTGGGACAAAAGGAACCACTGTGTTTGGCAGAGGGCCAGGAACAAAGGAGAAGGGGTGACGGCTGGAGCGAAGTGTCTGGAGGAGAGGGTGGGGTATGGAGTACAGGGGAGCAGGGGCTCCCATGAGGGCTGTCCTGTATGTCCTCCACCCCAGGGAAGGAGGTGGTGGTGGGCCGTGGCCCAGGACCTGAGAGGGGCCAAGAGGGCACCGTGAGAAGAGGTGGGCGGAGAGTGAGAGGCCTACCTCCATCCGTGCCTTGCTGGGCCGAGACGCCCCACCTCTTCTGGGCCTCAGTTGCTGCTGAATCTTGTGCACTGGACAAGCCAGCGGGGAAACTAGGATTCCAGTCTAGGGAATGCACTTCCATTGAGCAGAGCATCATTAAGGACACAGAGTCCTCTTAGTGACAGGCAGGGTGGGGGTGGGGGGGTCCCTGATCTTCAGGAACCTTTTCCTAGGCTAGTGAGAGGAGGGTATGGCAGTTTCTCTCGGTTCTCTCCCCAGAAGACATCCCGGCACACGAGCGGGGGAGGCAACGGAGGAGGGGGAGGCACGGGGGGAGGCGGTAGCGGCTTCATCGCTGGCCGGAGGAGCAGGTCGGCCTCGCCGTCCACGCAGCAGGAGAAGCACCCTTCCCACCACGAGAGGGGCCAGAAGAAGGTAAAAGTCTTCTCCCTCTACCCCTCCTGCCCACTCACAAACACCTGTTTCTTTCAAGAAGCCACCACAGGTATCCGGAAGGCCATAGGGCCTACCCCCTTCCTTCCTCTGAGGCTACTGAGGGCAGAGAGGGGACTGAGGAAGTGACATGTGAGGGTCACGGAGGGTGAGGTGAAGGCTTGGCTTCCCTGGGGCTCTTTGTATCTGTGTGGTTCCTCCGTGTCCTCCCCATGACACGACAGTGTCCCCAACATTTGCACACACGCCACAGTCTAGCCATGTGTCGGTCCAGTTTGTAAGTGCACATGCCTGCGTCCCCGCCACGTCACAGTGTGCCCGGCTCCCGTCCCTCCGCACAGCTCCGCTCCGTGTCCCGGGTGTGTGCTCACATGAGTGGTGCTCTGTGTCACTGGCATGATAATGGGACAGGCTATTTTTAGCAGGCAGTGAGGAGGAGGGGAAAGGGCTGTCGGCTCTCAGAGGAACCTGCCTGGGCCACTCCTGTCCTGCCAAAGTCCCCCAGTCCCTCCACAGGGGGAGATGGTGCCCACAAAGCCTTGTCCTTGAAAGGACCCCACTCCCCACATGCATGTGCTGTGTTTATCCTGACCCAGACTGTTCCCCAACATCAGTTCCGGTCCCTTCTTCCTCCCCAGAGTCGAAAGGACAAAGAACGCCTTAAACAGAAGCACAAGAAGCGGCCTGAGTCACCCCCCAGCATCCTCACCCCACCCGTGGTCCCCACTGCTGACAAGGTACTGCTGCCTACACCCAGGAGGGGTGGCCACAGCAGCGGGAGGGAGGCACGGGGTGAGGGGTCAGGGCGAGCACCCCTGGGAACCTCCTCAGCTTCCGGTTAATATGCCTCTGCCCGCCACCCTGCCCCCCTCTACTCCTGTTCTAGCCCAGGGGGGGCCTCTGCTCCTCAGCCCCACCAGTCACTGACTAACCAGGAGAGGTTGGGGTGGGGTGGGGGGCACCACCCTGCCTGCTGGCTGCCAGATGTTCTCATCTGCCTCTGTCCAGACAGAGGGCCTCAGCACTGGGCTCCTGTCTGCAGGTACAGTACTCATGGTGTTTCTCTGATTTTCTGGGGCCCATTTCCCCAAAGAGAGGCAGAGAGGACCCCTTCACTCTCATCCCTCCTCCACATCAGGAGGCTGCCCAGAGCCTGTCGCCTAACCAAAATCCTGCTCCACGCAGGCCGGAGGGACTGAAAGTGTGGCCCTTGATGGCTTGCGGGGGCAGGCCCGTGGACCACACCCTGAAGCCCCCACTGAGCCCGCCTTCCCGGTAGGGGCATGGCATGTCAGGCCTTACTCCAGAAACTGGCAACATCTGGATAAGCAACCAGCAGGCCCTACCCGAGGCCAGGGAATGGCTAATCCAAGCCAGAGCAGCCCTCCCTGCCCCTCCTTCCAGCCCGTCCTCCCCATGGAAGGAGAACAGGGGCCTGGAGACACTGCCTCCTCCTGTCACCATTATTGCCCCATTCACCTCCACTGGCCTCAGGAGGTTGGCAGAGCTCTGGGCATCTTAGCAGGAGGCTCAGGTATCAGGTTTCCAGGGTGATGTTGCTGTGGCAACTGTCCCAGTAACCCTCTCCCCTCCCTGCTGCCCAGGGCTCACCTGGAAAAGCTTGATGTCTGCGCCCTCTGGTCTTTCCCTGGGGTTTGCAGGCAGGGGGAAAGAGAGGGCCAGAGATCTAGGAGTTATCCCAGTGGCTGGGCATCCCTTTGGATGTGTTGGAGCATTCTGCCCATCCCCCTCCACCCACCCCAGCATTTCAGCCACCCCTCCCCCTGGGCCCTCTCCTCTCTTGCTCTCATAACCACATCTGGCTCCCTTCAGAACTCCAGCTGTTGAAAAGAACAAAGAAAAAGACAAGAGACCAGGGCTCCGCCCAGGAAGGAGCAGCACAGGGTGGCTCTCATTCTCCCATCCATCCTCCCTCTGGCATTTGTTCATTTACTGAATACCTGGTCTCCACCAGGAGGAAAAGCCATCCACGGTAGTAATACAAAGCCCTAACTCACCACGTGCCAGGCTCCCTTGTGGAACAGGGGAATGGAGGGGATGCCTGGGGGATTTGCTCATTTAATCCTCAAAATAATCCAATGAAGTAGGTATTTTATTAACCCCATTTAATAAATGAAGAAACTGAGGCACAGAGAAGTTAAGTAATTTGCCTAAAAGCACACAGCTAGGGAGTGGTGGAGTCAAGATTTGAACCCGGGCAGTCGGGCTTGAAGGCCTGTTCTCTTAACCACAGGACACTGTCTCTGCAGTGTATCACTAGCAGCCATGCCATCAGAATCATCATCATTATCGACCCCATACTATGTATCTGGCATTGTGGTCCTCGTAATTCTCCAAATAGGCCTAATTAGCCCCATAAGGACACTGAAGCTCGGTGAGGTTGAGAGACCACACAACATAACACGGTGGTAAACGGCAGAACCCACCAGGCTAACAGACCCCAGAGACCCCGCT